TGTTATGCCGGTAATTGGTTAGTTATTTATTTTACTTGCCTGATTTTAATGCAAATTGATTATTTTGGCGTGACTGGGGGTCAGGTACTAAAATGACAAGATAGGCAAGTTTTAAAACAATAACAACTTTATTATGTAAATATAAAGGAAATTAAGATAAAAGACATTTACAAAAAAAAAGGATCTTTCCCTCAATGTAGATCAACACACACAAAAGAAACAAGTCTGTTTTACTTACATTATTGGCAGGAGCGTCGCAACCATCATCACCTAGGGGTAGTGTCACCAACACACAGAATTTGCCACCTAGTGTTCTTTGTAAGGGTAGACTTTATCCCTTCGCGTTCCGGAATCGACTGATTGCGAATCAACCATCGATCCCCGTCCACGCGCTAAACTTTCTGATGAACCAGTGATTATTTTGACCATAGTTCAACATGGGTCATTCACTGGTTCCAGAAGTTTCTCTGGTCTTGCTGATCTAATGACAAAAACGACGAAGTCCTTATTGATGACTTCGCGAAGTTCAATAATTTTCCTAACGACCAGAGCTATCAAACTAGCGTCAAATTCCGCTTGCAAAATAGGTAGTTGTTTTCACTTGCTGCCTCGTTGCTATGTGCTGATAAATATGCTTACTTTGCAAGTGAATGAACTCGATATCCGTTCTATTAATTTAAAAAGAATAGCAACGTTATAATTATAAAATATTTAATTAATTTTGAAATATGTTTTAAGGTCTAAAATGGTTTTTTGAATTTCATTAAAATTTCACTGCGTGACACTTCCCCCCGGCTTACAAAAGATGGGCTCCATCTTTGGCTAAAGAAGAAAAAATTGAAAAAGGAAAAAGTTCCTTACTAGTAATCATCAGCAAATTAAAAATAGAAAGTTGTTGCAAAAAACATTGCTTAAATATTAAAGAACTACATCTAATTTACAATTATTAATGTTTTTCACGACACACATTTTTTAACACTTAGTATATTATGACATTATTTAAATTAAACACCCACTAGCATACCAACACTTCACAGTTCTTCATGAGTTCGCACTTTTCGTATCGTCTTTTTCTTGAGGAGAGAACCCGTGTGGTTTGGATCAAGGTCAGCATCACGTTTCCATCGTTGAAAAAATAGGGCAATTGTAGACAATAATAAAGCATACTAACACGTCAGGAATTATACATCGATGCTTGTATAGGTAATTTTGCTTGGGTCGTTCCTCGTTGGCGTGTCAGGTGATCCGTTAGCTCGCCCACCGTATTCTTGGCTGTATTTTTTAACAGCAGTTTTGAAAATAAAATCAAGTTCATGGGAGTTAAAGCTGCTGATGTATTCTATATTATGTTCTATATATGTTTCTTAATAATCTTCTGGACGTTGCAGTTTTTCTCATATTGTTGGGCGATGGTCCAGTATTGTAGTTAGTAGAAGAAAGTTTGCCAACTCGCTCCACGGTTTTTTTGAAGTCATCTAATTGTGGTCGATTTTCCAAATTATTTATTATGGGAGCTGTATGTGAATTGAACGGCTCAATCATTTTTCTTTCCATTCGCGACCATAGATAGGTGATGAAGTGGTATATTAACGTAAACAAGCCAGAGTTGCACGAATTGAGGGATGATCGAACTAACAGCTACATTGAAGCTATAAGCAGATATTCAGGTACTCGTATGTATTTGTCCAACTTCACGAGACGATCGATATGCTGCTATTAAACGAAAATGTTGTACGTCAATTCCTGTTGCAACTCAAGTTATCAATTCCACAACACTTTTTAATCCCCAAAAGGTACGTTGTATAACGCAAAAAATTGCATTACAAATAAATTGCAAATTGGGAGGTACCCTATGGATGGTTCGTTTTCCTGTTAAGACTTGGATGGTAATTGGCATTGACGTTTATCATAGTCAAGGTAACAAATCCTCTTGTGGTTTTGTTGCTAGTCTAAACGAAAACTTCACGCGGTGGTTTAGTATCACCATATCCCAAGAAAGAGAAATTGGAAATCAATTAAAAGTTGCGTTTGCGAAACTCCTCAAAAGATTTCACGAAATAAACGGAACATTTCCTCAGAAAATTATAATATTTAGAGATGGCGTAGGTGACGGACAACTAGCCCATTGTCGTGACTATGAAGTGGTATATTACCCCGGTTGGGGTTGGAATTGGTGTCCCTTTCGAACCAGATACCGTAAATTTGATATGCTCTTCCATTTTATTGGTTTTGGTCAAGCAATTATTTGGTTTTGTGGATATATCAGTGATTTGTGGGCGGCTTGGTGTCCTTTGCAGGTTTTTTTTTTCTTCCGTATGTGTAAATAAAGTGTTGAATGCCCCAAGGGTATGTGGCTTTAATAACGACACGACGACGGGTATGCCTGTTTTCCTCGTATTTAGTGCTGTTCGGATCCGTCATACAGGGCATGATGTGAAGGTTGTGGGCTCAGTGACTGGCCCCTTACTGGCTGGATATTTGCTGCTGCCGCGATCAGCAGGTGTTGTTTACAGAGTAAGTATATGACAATAATGGACAGTACGATATTCCAAACTAAAAATAAGGAATCGCTGTGTATTCCATAGCTGTATGATGTGAATGGATTGAACAAATCCGGATTACTTATAGCATCTACAAAATTTTTTAATTGGTCTTCGTTAGAAGTTAAATTTAGATGAGGGATATTTAAGGTACAATTATCGTTTAAGCATTCATGTATGTTTTTGTACGTGGGAATATTTTGGTTTGTGTGAGGTCTTAGATTGAATGATTTTAGGTTAGACCAAATGGCAGGTATAATGTGAATAATTTGTGGTTCATTTTTTACGTTTTCGGGCCATGGAAATCTATCGGAGATGAAGACGTCGTTTTCCGACTGAAGGCTGCAATGGCACAGGAGATTAATTTTTATTGAATCCTTTTTTTTGTAATTATTAGGTATTGGGATTATCTTTTCACCGCATTTTATTGTGGTGTTAGGTTTTGGGTGAGTTATTATATATACTTCTTCTAGTACCTCTGAAATTATCATAGAGTTTCCTCTGTGGCAGTTCATTGGACAATGTTGGCTTAAATCTTCTACGGTTGTCCCTTCATATAATTTTTTCGCGCATTCGGGTCCCTGTATCGAATCAGCGGAATATCGGGGTATGTAACAAAGCTTGTTATGATAAGGTTTACATTGATGTAAGCCCGTACCTGATATTTGTCTTATGCTATATTTCCCTACGGGGTTTTGATTAGTTACTTCTAAAAATAGGGGTTGGTGAGGTATAGAACACGTTTGATTGTACCAGGCAAAAGGTGTTGTTACGAATTGAAAAAGATTCCAATGATTCTTTTCTGCCATGATCGGGATTTTGATAAAAAGTTTGTTTTGGGTAAAGGAACAGTCGGTAATTGGAAGTTCGAAATACTTAGAAACCTCGGTAACAGGAATGGCCAGTTCCTGGCCTGATTTCCCCATTTCCCCTTCCAACTTTTCTAGGTCGTGTTTTAATATCGCAGGGTGAATTACTGATGGCGGGGTTTTGTGATGCTTACATGACGTTATAATGTTGTGTCTTCTTATTGCTCTGGTTAAAAGTATGATTCTTTTTAAATTTTGATACTCGTTGTATAATGAAACCGTCCATAATGAATCTTGTTCCCGTGTAGTTTGAATGATACTTTTTTTCATAATCTTTACATACCTTTCAATGATTTTCCTTCTGTCTTCCGTCTTCTGAAACGTGGCTGATATCATGCTGTCGTATTTTCTGATCCTTTCTGAATTTTCACTAACTTGTTTCACCGACGATGAAAGCCCCCTCGTAAGTGATAGGAGTT